AAGCATTAAAAAGAAAAAAGACCCTTCTATAAACTTACGTGTACTTATCAGTCTTAAAGGCTGTTCTCAGGGTTTCATCCAGACTTTTGACCTCTCAGTCCCAAGATCAACTTATTTCCTATGGCTCATTTTTGCCTAATAGTTGGTTCTCTAATACAAATAATAGCTGGATAGAAGTATATCTAAACCAAAAGAATCTATAGTGGTCCTATTCTCTTTTCTGTTAGACCAACTGCAATATTCTAGAGGCCTTGGTTAAAGGATGACAGACAAATTGAATGCGGTCTGAGAGAAGTGACCAGCAAGGGGAAAGAATCCAAATGAACCAAAACATAACTAGGAAAGAATTTAAATGTAGAAAAAGGCACATATATTCACTCAGAAGACAGATTTAAGGTCTTGTGACCTTGTATGAGTCATTTTAACTCTCTGAACTTTGGTATCATTTATAAAATGGAAATGCAATGCCTGTCCTCACCTCAAATGATTATTGTGAAAATTAAACAAAACAGAGTATGAGAGAGCCCTGTGTGTGCAATGAACTTTGAAAGTATTAAGAATGATAACCATGTGGCATGATGGGTATGTTAATTAGCTTGATTGTAGTTCGCAATTCACAATGTGTACTTAAATCGAGTTGTCCACCTTAAATATATACAGTTAGTTGTCAGTTACACCTCAGTAAAATGGAGGAAAAAATGTTGCCTCCATGAATGCAGAGACCATATAGGCTTTAAGTACTCAATAAATTGTGTACAGGTTAAAAGAAAAGAAGATATTAGTGTATTAGTATTGTTTTGGAAAAATATAAGGTTAGAGGAAAGATAACATTTTTTACATTCTGTTAGGGTTATCATGTGAAAGAGGACTTAGATTTACCCTGAATGGCTCAAAAGCACAACTGCGATTCATTGAATAGAAGCTGCAGGGAGTAAAAGCCCAGCTCAGGGAAAAAAAAATAATTCTCTAATTTTCAGTATTTTTCAAGCATAAGATGGTTTATTCTAAGAGGTGGAATGTTCTCTAAACCTGGAGGTGTTTAGGTATACTCCTGGCTGAACACATGTAAAGGATAGAAAGCATACTATGGATCACATCTTTTAGAAAGCAACTAGATCACGTTTAAGATCCTTTCCATCTGTATGATTTCATGATTATGAGTACTCAGCTTTTTTTCTCCGTTTCCCTGAATGTGTGTCCTTTACTACCTGTATGGTCAAGATTTTATACTCCACAAATTTACTCCTCTTTGGAGTCTTCTGGATCATTTTCTTAACACCGCTTCTTTATATTAATTCATAGTGCTTTTTCTTTTGGAAAGCTTTCACTGTTCCATTTAGCTCTTCATGACCATCCCCTGTCATCAACCTGTCTCACCTGCATGAACCCCAGCATTCCATTCCCTTCTCAGCATATGGGTGACATCTCCTGACATCTCCTTTATGCAGCACATCAAAAAATCATATTTCCCATATTACAGTTGCCTCTTGAGCAACACGGGTTTGAACTACATAGATCCTCTTATATGCAGATTCTTTACAGCATAGTACTATAAATGTATTTTCCTTATGATTTTCTTAATAACATTTTCCTTTCTCTAGCTTTATTGTAAAAATATAGTATATAATATAATATACAATGTATGTGTCAGTTGACCATTTATGTTATTGGTAAAGCTTCCAGTCAACAGTAGGCTATTAGTAGTTAAGTTTTTGGAGAGTCAAAAGATACGTGCAGATTTTCATCTGCACAGGGAGTCAGCACCCTTAACCCCTGTATGATTGAAGGGTCAACTGTATTTCATTATTTTGAAATTTATGGTAATTCAAAAATGAGTTCAGAGTTTTTTTCTCTTAAACTCTTTAGGGAAAATATTTAACTAAATTAGTGTAGTAAACATGATTGCAACAAAAATCTTTAACTTGTTTTAGAGTAAATACTTTTTAGTTGCTTTAGAAGCATCTCCTGAGGAAGAAACAAAGTATAAATTAGAAATAGTATTTCTTCATAACAAGATCATGACATTTTTAGACTACTTTAAATTGATATTGTTTTGGAAGTAATACTGTTTCTATTCATCATTTAGGTTGGTCTCTTATACCATTATTTTGACTTATATTTTATGTGTCTTGCAGTTTTTATATAGCATGAATTCATAATCTCTATCTTCATAAGATCTTAGAAAATGACTTAAAGTCTTTGTATCTTTTATAGATTTTATGTTTGTATATGGTGTTTATGTAAAAACATATAAACCAACTTGCTGCTTTTAGTATATACGCAAAACCGATTTGTTTAAAACACTGTAATGGCTTCAAAGTAACACTTGCTTTTTGCTCTCTTTTGTAAACTTATTTGTACCCCAGCTTATTTTTTTTTCCCCTTTGAAAAGCCTCGCAGTGAGAGAATTTCTTTGTCTGGATGATCCGCCAGGTCCATTTGATAGCCTAGAAGAAAGCAGGGTAAGTGGTGTATTACATATCACATGGAAAGAGGAACAAATAATACAGTACAATAACCACATTGTTTCTTGAATGGAATAGCAAATAGCAAAATATTATAATTTCAGACCTTTGTAGTTTTAACACAGAAAGCTTTTAATGTTTGAGTCAAAGGTTTCTTTCATTGAAATACATGAACCAGTTCAGTGAAAAAATAAAAATTCATACATGCCATGCCATCAATGAAGCTCTAAAACTAAACGTTGCATTTTTCTCCTTATTTTTACTATTTCAAAAGAAAAGAAAATCATCCAGAAATTTATTTTACTACATTTAAAAGTACTATTTGTATGCCAAGCTTCTAAATATCAAAAATAAAGAACCTACAACTAAAATCAATTAAAACTTACCTTCAGAAGTAGAAGTTATTCTCTGTTGTCAATTCAACTCAACCTTGATGCTACTCAAATTACTTTAATTCATGTGTTAGATAGCAGCCTATTTCTTGAAGCAGTTGGCCAGATGCACAAAATAGATATGGTAATAATAGATTAGGAAGGACTTTATGCAAGTTTTTTTCCCCAACTGTTCAATGGCACTTAAATGGAACAGATTTAATTGGTAGATTTGTAATGTTTTTTGGTTAAACTGAGTCTGTTCTTTATATTAGAGTGAATGCCATCGCTTTTTGGAAACAGCTTTATTGAGGTAAAAGTTTCAGCATAAAATTAACTATTTGCTATTCCATTGTAAAAGTACAATTTAATAATTTTTAGTACATTTATAGAAGTATGCCACCATCTCCATATCCAATTTCAGAAATTCCCATCTTTTTGACAAAAATTCCCTACAAGCCATTTTGCAGTCAGTCCATACTCCCAGCTCCAGACAACTATTGATCTGATTTCAGTTTCTACAACTTTATCTGTTCTGGATATTTTTTATGTGAATAGAGTCATAGTGTGTGTGTGTGTGTGTGTGTGTGTGTGTGTGTGTGTGTGTGTGTGTG